GGACTGGATGCCAAACCAACCACGTTGCACACCTACCCTAACACTCAGTTTACCCTTAAACACACACATCCTGGACACTACGCCTGCCCGTGAACCCCCTCCATTCAAATTCTCCCTCCAAAACCAGGTGTTCCGCCAGGCCGACCCCGAGTTTGTGTCGATCCTGGAGGACATCCGCTGGGCGCGCGACCCCGCCGGCGCCGTGCGGCGCCTCGTCGCGCGCTGCGGGCGGCCGCTCGAGGCGCGCCACGGCATCGTGCCGACCAAGCTGTGAGCGCCGGCTCGTCCATGTCTCCGAAGCCAGGGCCACCGCTGGCCGCTTGGGGCCGCGGGCGGCCGGCTTGCATCGGCTTTCCCTTGGAATCGCATGTCGTGCGTGTGCGTGGGAAGGCGCCGCCGCAGCGCCAATCACTCCTTTCCCGCCAACACTTATTCAGCCGACACACATCTCGACCCACTTGCTTGGGCCGCCCTCTCTCCGCTCGCCTCACACCCTTGACAACCCATCCGCCACGCGCCATTTGTCGCTGCGTTGCTGCCCCCACCCATCCACGCTCGCCTGGCAGCTTTGCGCGCAACGCTGACGTGGACACCGTGAACGCACAGGAGCTGGCCAGGCTCGGCGGCGAGGCGGTGGGCGTGCCAAGGAGGACGTGCCCGCCGATTCCTGCTTTCGCACACCAGCCCCAAAGGAGCCCCAAACCCAGAGATCGCCCGCCCAATCTGCCCTTGCTCAGTTGATGGATGGCAGCATCTCCAGTGTATTTTCAGCCGTCAGCCTCCAAGTGGCTTATATGCTTGTTTCTGCGGCCGCGTGCTCGGTGACCCCTCCCCCGCCCCAACAGCGCACATTTGGCGGCGTCGACTCTGTGGGGGTCAATCCTGAGCTGGACCCCTCTGCTTGGAGCGAGGCGGAGCCGCGGCTGTGGCGCGCAGGTGGGTGTGCAGTTTCTTCTGTATGTGAGTCTTATGTGTGTGTGTGTGTGTGTGTGTGTGTGGGTGTGTGTGGTGTGTGTGTGTGTGTGTGTTTGTGTGTGGGGGTTGGCCGCTGTGTGCCATGCATGCTTCTGGGGTCCCCTTGTACACACCTCTGCCGTGACTTTGCCTCGAACAACCCCCCCCCCCCCCC